TATACATTACACATTATCTAGTTACAGTATCTATGTAGCATCACTCCTTCCTGTAGTATCAGCTTACATTATTACTAGTGTACTTGTCTATATCCCCTCCAAGCTCTATCTCCCTGGTTGAGTAGTTCCACAATGGAGAGGCTGTACAAGCTCAATGATGAGTCTACTAGAGGATCACACTATTATTTGTGCCAATTCCAGCTCCATCAAGAGCAGAGAACATTTTATCAGTTGTTGTTGTTGTTGTTTTTGTTTTCAGAGGTTTTGACTGGGTTCATTCAGCCATTGATATCTCCAGCCCTTCCTCTTTGTTTTCCATTAATCCAACAGCCCACTATTCCATTCTTTGAGGCTATATTGACAACATGGGTGACACAATCTCTTGAACTTTGAAGTGTGGTTTCTAGAGGTAAAGTTTACAAGCCATTTCAACCTTTATCAATGCATTATCAGCAGTTATTGTATGGATTAGATTGATAGAAGGATGTTTATCAAGAGCACTGTATAATAAATCTGCAAAATTTTGCCCACTACGGACACCTGTAGAACTGAGAATACTCGTTAATTATGGGTGAAGCAGTAGCAGTCTAGGACTGATGAGCTAAGAAGCACCCTTAGGCATTCCCTGCAGACAACATAGCCTTCATCAATAGATCTTAATCACACAAGGCATGAGAGTCTATCCCACCCTTTAGGCTTTCCCCGCAGACAACATAGCCTTCATCAATTAGATCTTAATCACTATTGGCATGAGAGTCTATCCCCACCCTTGATCCTTTCCCCGAGACTCTCCAACCAAAATGAGTTAAACTTCTTAACTATTTGATGAACTGGTATTTCTTTAATTTTAATTTTTGTTGTGTAACATATAGGGAAATGGGGGAAAGCGAAAGCGGAATATACATGTGAATTCAACTTTGTGAGGAAATATAAGGAAGGAAACCCCCACAACACCAAAAACGCGAAACAAAGATCTGTAGGAAAGCTAAAGGGGAATTTTGATAGATGTGAAATTTTTCTTTTTGGGAACTATGATGAATTTCCAAACCCCTTCAGCAACAAAAACGGCAAACAAAGATCTTGGAAGGCTGAGGATTTTTACAATTTTGTTCGAAGGACCCAAAACACGCAGTAGATCTTTGATCTACTTTGGCCATAACACTTCGTTGCTCTTTTACATTAACCAGGTCGGAAGACGTTTCAGGTTTTTTTTGTTATATTGACAGCCGCTGCCCTATTCGCGCAGTCCGTCAACAGCTATCCTTTGGGGTTTGAATCTTCACTGACGACTTGCCATTAATCTTGGGAAGGAAGTACCGAACTAGTCAGGGTTGAGTTTTCGTGAGAACTCGGATGATCCATTTGCCGATCCATCAAAAGGTAGAGG